CGCAATTGGGGCACGGGATGGTCGGCGCCGAAGAAGACGTGGTGCCCGCCTTGCCGCCTTCTGTAGATGGCCATCGGCGCACGCTTATGTGCAACAGCATACAGACATGTCCGGACCATCGTGAAGCACCGAACCGACTCTGGTGTCGAGGTGCTGTTCCCACGAGAAGGTGGGCTGCCCTGGCTACCACTACGCCGACGCTGGGGGCGGTGGGCAAACCGTGGTCACGACGCACACCGTGGTTTCAGGCAGGGGAACATACCGAAGCTGCGTGTCGCATGCCCAATGTTGGGTCCACGGCCACTTGCGAGAGGCGGCGGAGGTGGCAGCTTCGGCGGTGCATATTCATTCCACGGCCATCCTCCCTCCGCAGCTGGTTCCGGCATGATGTGGCACTGGGTGGCCCGGAGCAAGTTGTGATGAACGTCATTGAAGTTCTAAAGTTTTGCCTAGAGCCAGTTGTTGTGCATGCCTGCGCATGATCCGAGTCCTCGTCTGGTGGCTCGGGCCACTGGGTCCAGGCCGGGTGCAGCGCATCTGGCATCTCCTCATCATGAAAATCAGCACTGGTCGTGTCGACATGAAACAGGTCCACACGCACGGTAACCTGCCTTTCGACTGCTTCGCCGGCATCACGGTCCGGCCCCAAGTGGCAGTGGATGGACCCTGTGCGGCGCCTCGATCACAGCTTGTGGCCCTGTCGCGGTGCTGTTCAGGCGGGCTGGTCTGGCGGGAAGAAGCACTTCTGCTGCCTGCACTTTGACAAGGGCTGCTGAGCAGGCGCGGTCTGCAAGCGGGTCACATCGGCTCTGCTGAGAAGAGCTTGTACAGTAGACACCGTCGAAAATGTCTGTTCACTGCTGCAGCTTTTCGCTGGCAGCCGCAGTGATCGTCGCAGCTAATTTTCCGTGGCGTCCCCGGCTGGCGGCATACAGCAGCATCATGTCAGTCTCCCAGCTCTGGGAAGTGCTTTGTCTCAGATCTGGCTGCTCAAGGTGTGTCCTGCTTCGTGGTTCACTTGCAAAGGCCCCACCGACCGAATGAACATTCATGCTGCTGCAGAAGCCAGACTCACAGAGATCACAGACGCAGGGTCAGAAGTCAGTAGACATCGCGGCGAGTGTGGAAAGCTGGCAAGATGACGTGAGATCATCGTCTTTTGCTGGATCCCTTTGCAGTTTATCTCCTTCGGTCTTTGGCCACTTCTCCAGCACAAGACCTTGTTTTGAACTTGCAATCCCCGAAATCTGCAGCGAACACAGGGGCCGCGATTGGCGAGCCTCTTTGCCGCCTTCTGATTCTGGAGGTTGTGGCTGCCAGTTGCGTTGCACGTCGCAGAGACGTGTAGATGTGCAGGTTTGTCGGGCCACTGGTCAACATCTTTCTGTCGCCACCCTAGTAGATGTGTACATGCCCTGCCCCTTGAGTGCCCATGTCTGCCTCAGTTGTTTCATGGCCATTGGCTGCGTCATGTGCTGCTTCGGCCCGCGAGGTACTCTGCGAGAATCTGCTTTTCACCTTCACATTTTTGGCCTGAGCAAGGCTCAAGCATCTTCTGGATGCGCTCTTTCAGACGTCAAGTTGACTGAGCTAAGTGTCATGCCCGCGCAAGCTGATTTTTCTGACGAGACGTGCGGGTTACGCACGGAGACTGACACAACAAGTGAGAACGAAGCAGATGGGAGTGCAAGTCTTCGTCCGAGCTCATAGAGACGGTGGAGACAAGCTAGACCCAGATGAAAATGGAAATAGACTGCCTGCATGCTGCTTAGCCGTTGTGTGTTAACATTGCTCGATGCAGCTCGATGCACGTGCAAAACCACAAGATCGCCCAGTCGACATCGCATCTGACAGCGCAATGTAGAGAGCCGGACAGACCATTGCGGAAAGTTGTTGGCAGTCCTGGCAGTCGGACCAAGATTCAAGATATTTCAACAAGCGGCCGTCAGAGTCGCGAAGGCTCGGGTACATCCGCAGGCATAGCTTGATCTCCGGTCAGTCGCGGTTTCTTTTCTAGACACGATAACCGCGGCTCTCCGGGTGTGGCCTCTAAATACCGCCCCGGGCAGACCACATGCAGCGGCCGGGCCCAGTGTGTGTTCGGCAGGTGTCTGTGGTGGGTTCGAAGTTTCGAGGCCGCAGAAAAGTAATTAGCCGAGGACCAAAATGCACATGAAGGCAATCCTCAAATCCCAATCCAGAATCCTTGGGGGTCTTGGGAGCGCATGAGTCCAAAATGCGCATGAGACCGTGGCGGGAACATGCGTCCCCGGAGCACATGTTCGGGGGAAGCACGAGTGCAAGGCGGCATGGGACAGATGGGTCAGCTCGGCCACTGCGGCCGGCAAAGCTCGCCGGTGTCTTTGCGCTGGCCTGACCGCTTGTGCCTGGAGATTTGTAACAGCTCACGCAGGGAGGGCGATTTGCACAAGTAGGAAAGCGAGGGGATTTGTGTTGGCTTGAGCGCTTGTGGCCCTGCAGGCAGCGTAGCGGCGTAGCGTAGACTGTGCTCCGAGCCCTGAAGCGATGGGTCTGGTCTTCTCCAGCGGAGGAGGGGGAGGTGGCGGTGCCGGTGCCGGAGGCCCGCGAATCAAGGGTTTACAACCCGTGTTCGCTTCTGCATCTTCTG